CCCAGTAAAGCCGGAAACACACTGAGCTCACGACAGCTCACGTACTGTCACGTTATCGACAAAAAATATGGAGCGCTGTTTTACATAGTATGTTAATACATCAGAACTACACTCAAACAAACCAATTGGTAATCCACAATTTTTCATTGGTAGAGATAGCTCTTCGAAGTTGAGTATTTTGTATGTCATTTTTAATTAGACCATGTAGAAAATCAAATTCTTCTTTAGTCATGCGAAAATACATGTGAAAGCGTTTGAGATCATTTTGCAATTCCTGAACCAAACGATGAAATTCGCCCAATTCGTTTCTTTCCATGTTTCCATGTCATGGACCCATGCTTTCCTCGTGTTTTTATTTTTCTCCTCAATAACGATAAAAGCAGCTACAGTTTCTAGTTCCTCTTCCCAGTCCGAAGAACTGATTGAGCCAGCTTAAGCAACTTTCCATAACTGAAAATTCAGGAAAAACAAGCACATAACACAGACTGAAATTAAATGTCAACTTGTGATATCTCATAAAATACTTCTCATCTAGCATACTTCTGAGAAAACTGAAAGTTATATTCAGTTGTTGATGAACCGTACGTTTTACGAACCTTTATAGCCTAAATATATATTTTGGCAAAAAATGCCAATAATTATTGATTGGAACTTTGTATAACCATTGTTATATTGCTTATTACCTGGTATATGTGAGACTCACTCTATGTGTTTACGTCAGCATTTAATGTTTTGGATGACTTGCAATAGATTGGGACCAAACTTCAATCGAGATTAGTTCTAATCAGGACCTACGGTTTAGATAAACCGAATTTATCTTCTATTTTCTCGCCTCCGCCTGCTTATCACTACGAGTTTTACGTCTGGAAAAACCCAAGATCGTGTAATAAACTAACGTGTATACTACTGCCACATTCATCATAATATTTAAATATTATTTGAAATATATTTATATCAAGAATCAGAAGCATTTTTTTTCTTTGTTAGGCAAATTTGTATTACTATAAACATAACTTCTGACAAGCAACGTCCGTTTAGGTTTAACGCAGAAGTGTTTACAAAAAAATAATTATTTTACTTTGTAGATTTTCTTGCAGTGCAGTGGCGGAATACCCATAAAGGATTTTTTGGAAAGAAGAATCAGAAAATCTAGCTACATCTGCTGTAACTTACTCTATAGTTACTGAAACTAAACTTTAAAAAATCTAGTATCTTAAATATACTTTTTTCCGCTTTTTATTTGCAACGACAAGGGCAGAAAACCCTTGAATATCATGCTTTTTGTAGGTTAGTTAATTTTTTAGTAGGTTAGTTCAAGTAAAGTGTTACTGAGGGGTTTATAACTGTGTATTTTAAAGCTATGAATTTATTGCTTAAAATTGATTTTAATATTTTCTGTTTCAGTGGTGATATAGTAAACCACTAAGAATAAAATATCTATATACCACAGGCGTATAGAATAATCCGGCTTTTTGCAAAGAGACTAGGCATATTATAAAACCCGGCTTCTTAGTCTGCTATGAGCATAAGCATGTTGAATAATTTACGCTTTAATAAAAATAACCCATATTTTCCTGAACAAAAACAATAATTTATGTCAAAATTTTATTTTGTTTTTTTTTGTTTCGTTTCTTTGACCTGTATACTATATATTTTTTTGTTTTCACTGTTGGCTTTAGGTCGTTGGAGTTGCAAAGATGTTTCTAGATTTTGTTCATTATTTTTTTATTTTGTGACGACGTTTCGACAGTATATGTCTTTTTCAAGCCTCTTGAACGTAGATTCTTACAGAGTTAAAATTTGTTAAACTGGACAACACAATAACACATATTAACTATTGTTTTTAATTGTTTTTGGACATTACACTTTACTATAGAGCACGTACGTATTTATCGTTTCTATACCCGATGTCTACTGTAGACCAAACCAAAATCTAGAAACATCTTTGCAACCCCAACGACCTAAAGCCAAGACTGAAAACAAACAAAAAAAAAATATTTTGTTTAGACGAAAACAACTTGAACCCTATTTCATAAATTGTAATTACAAGTAACATAATTTTAAATAAAAAATATATTAATTTCTTAGTATTAATATCTGATTTAATTATATTCTATAATTCGATTCTGTGTACAGGGCTGTTTCTTTGTGAAACTTTGCTTTCTTTTAGAATAAAATAAATTTAGATTTTTATAATAATCGTCCTTAGCCATACTCTATTTAACAGAATTATCACTTTTTGTGCCATTATTTCCTAATTTTGAAAGAGAAGTTCAATAAATGTCGTTTGATAAATTTAGGTTAGTTATACCAATCCCGCGTAAAATGTTTTGTGCAAGCTGACTAGTCTTCATTAGACATTTTGCAAAGCAACTGAGAAAAGATAGGCACTTTGTAAAATATCCTTTTTCTGTTAAAACGCCGGCGTTTTATAATGTGCCCAGTCTTTTTGCAAAATGGCGAATTATTCGATACACCATATTTTTTTTATACATTTTGTGTGTAGTCAGTACGAAAAATTAAACTACTGGATAAGTATTATCAAAAATTAAAAAAGAAGTAGCCCTATTGACAGTGGAAAAAGAGTAACTGACCTTAATCGTCAAACGTCAGTATTCGACCTCACCTATTCTGTTCTTTTACATTTTAAAAGTGAGGATATCTTCTAAAAAAGCACTCGAACGGTCTACGCTAAGTTAATTTTTCCTGAAAAAGTGTTCGTAATTTAAAAAATAATGTAAGCTTAATGGTTATATTAATCTTTTTGATTTTAGTAGACTATATTATGGATCATGAGACTTTAAAAGAAGATGTTTTGTTATGTCCATTTTTGTTGGTTCAGAATGTTTTGGCTTTGTTATGTAGATAATAATTTCATTATACCTAGTCTGCAAAAAAATCTGAGGCTCTCTTTATTTGCTGCTTGCTTGCCATTTATACCCTAACATACATCTCAGGCTTCCCAAAAACCAGCAGTACTCCGCCACATGCTTGCATTCCACATCTCTAAAAATCTCTTCTCCAGCTTAGTGATGTCTTGTTGGAACCGTTCCCCGTGTTCATCCAAACTGCTTCTAAACTTTCAGGAAAGTAGTCCAGCTGCGAGTGAAGGAAATGTATACAACAGAGACATGTTACATTCTATGGCCTTGTACGCTAACAGCAATTTCTCGTCTGAACTACTTTTGTGGTTACCCAAAAAGTTCTTACACATAATTCAGGTGTTCAAACGTTAAATCTTGGGAAAGCTGTCTAATCTCGGGACTAGGGAATGCAATCCCGCACCAAAATCTCAATCTCGCAAACCCGCGGGATTAAAGCAACCAGTCCCGCGGATCCGCGAAATTGCGGGATTGTGAACAATAGTCATACATTTGATCCTAAATGGTACAAAAGGCATTGTACATTTTGCATAGGCCCACAATATATTGATATAGCGTGTATCTTAAACTAGCTGTACAGAAATTTGGGTAATATATACAGGGTATACAGGGAGTTCAAAAAATATATTTAATAATAAATAAACTTAGATTTTATTATAATTTATCTACTTCTTTTATAAATAAAAATATTATTCTGATGTTGAAGTTTTTTTAACTTGTGTTAGTTATCTCCTTTTTGATACACTCTATATCAATAATTTTTTGGCATATGCAGAATGTGCAAAGCTTTTCTACTATCTAGGACCATACGTATGACTAAAAATGCATATTTTTCGAAAAAACGTCGTATTTTCCTTAAAACAAAAAAAATTAAAAAACCGATCAAATTGTTTTAATACAGATTAGTCGTACTTGGTAAAAATTTCGATTTTTTAAAAATTGTAAATTTGCGGTAAAATATTCTTGATCAAATTTTCACACTCTTATAAAACACCCTGTATACGAGAATTCGCTAAATATTAAATATATTTTCGAAAACCACATAGCATCTTAATCACAATAGATGCATCTAAAACCTGGTCCAAACCGCATCCCAAAATCTTTTTTAGTTCAAGAGATATTCAACTTTAGATTTACCCTCAAATTTTGCTTGTCCCGATAATTATGTCCGGCAGTTTATTTGACGAAATTGTCCACAAGTACTAGTTAGACGCTTTTCTTCACTTACGCACACACGCCAGAAATAAATCTAACAATAACCTGTTTGTTTCACTTATTTTTAATGGCCAGGTTCCGAGCGCCGACGCATCGGCCCGGAACGAAGCGGTTTGACCTTGATCGAGATGGACTCGGTTACCCAGTAGTCCCGCACGGTAAATCCCGCAACTTTGAGCCTGCGGAATCTCAGAGGGATCCCGCATTTGCGGGATTGCATTCCCTACTCGGGGCGGGGGGCCACAAGAACTTCTTTCTTGATTTTAGCCTCATTAAGACGAGGAAATTTGGTACACAAAAATTGAAATGCATCATCACCTGTCATGTCCCTTGTTTTCACAGACTGTCTGATCAATCCGAATTTGATGTGCAAAGGAGGCAAGTAAATATTTTCCTTCGGGAACGTGGGCAACATCCATCCGAGTTGCATCCATTAAAAGACAAGACAAAGAAGCGGCAGGTCTGTACCTAATATGAAGATATCGGAGAGTAAAGTCACAAGAAAATTATTACTAAACGAGAAGTTAATCTTAAATTAGACCACAGCTATGACGAAATCTCTTGGTACAATCTGATGAATCTCTTGGTACATGAATTATATCGAAAAGGGAGCACAAATGGCGAATACAATACACTTTTCTACCAATTGCGTCAACACCCCAGCCAATTTTTTGGATATTCTAGAATGACAGTTGAAACTGTTGATTTATCACTAAATAGAATTAGACATCATGTACAGAAAACTATGTTAACTACAGAGACTTTATTTTGCGGGAAGACAGACTAGTCGTAACATTGGGATAAGGACATTTTTTCAATACTGTCGTCCTACTCAGGAAGACGTAATTTTTTAAATAAATATTTATCGTTTAAGTACTATATTTTTTATTTGTATTTTAAACTAGAAAACAGTGTTTCAATAATAGTGTTTATATACAAATAAAAATCCCATCGGAAATCGTTATTACGAAACTGTTGGTCGCTTCTGTCGTACACCATAAAGTCCTAGGAGGAATCGTAGACAAAACCGTCGGCGTCGCCGTCGCCGTCGGTGTGGAGTATACTGAATGTTTTCTTATACATAATCAAATTATAGATGATCGGTTTGATAAGTTTATCGTTTCTTCGTAGAGTAATTGCTGGTACTTTATTCTCAAAGACATTTTACTAGTTCGCGGTAGTAACTTAAAATCCGGAATCAAGCTCTTAAAGAACAGCAAATCATCATCTTCATCTCCGTCCTTTTCATGTAGTTTAGTTTTTTTACTCTCTGTCTCAACCAATTTCTGCCTATAATTATCAGTAGAAAGCTTCCGTTTCTTTTCCGTAATTTCCTCATTTAATTTCGTATTTGAGGTTGAAGGTATATCGACATATTCTACATAAGCAAATGCCGATTCAGATTGTGGATTACTTCTGTTTGGCTCTTTGTATTGTGACTCGTCATATATTTCACCTTCATATTGATCAGTTTCTGAATTATCTGGCTCATCTTGATCTCCTTCCTCCTTAATAGATATTTGATCCATAGAGTTACTGTTCGTCTTGGAGTCGACCAGGAAATGTGTATAACTATCTGTAATATTTATTTCCTTTAGTGTTGTACCTCGTTCTCTAGTTCGCATAGTATCATTCAAGAACGCCATCAACTTAAAATAGGGCCAAACTGATGTTTTTGAAGTTCCACCTTCTTCATCGGAAGGCGGCTTAGCATTTCTTTTCATTTCAGCCCGATAATAGTCCTTTAGACCCTTCCATTTACGTTTGACGGTTTCAACTGAAATACAATTTTCTATAGTTAGTATTTAAATTATATTATTAATACTAAATCCATATCAATTATCATTACATCATTACTATTAAAATCTATTTTATAAAAATTAATTTTATGTTACAGAACAATCATTTTCTTTTCGAATGGGTAAGTTCACAGTAGCAAAAATTGTAAAAGATACATGTGGAGTGTTAAAAAAATGCTTAATGTTTCAGGCCTAAAAATGTCTCTGCTACAAACTAATCTCCTAAATCTCCTCTGAATAGTTATAAGTTATAAGCTATGAACACTGAGATCATTCCGAAAGTATTCTGAACGCTAAGACAGAAAGTGGGAAGTGGTTTCTGGGAAAGTAGTTTATATCTGAGTCTATTGTTAGTTAGTATGGTAATATTAGTATTTTAATAAAATAGCTTTTAGGTGTTTCAAAGTGTAATGAGATTAATTTTATCTCTCTACATACACTGTGTCAATTTTAAAACTTCCCACCCTTAATATCTATCTTGCAGTTAAAAATATGAAAAATCGGAAAGACACGTCAATTTTATTTGTAACGGGGACACTTTAAATGAATATTTTTAGCCTTTTTCTTTCAACCCCCTAGGAGGGGTAGATGTCCCCCTTACAATCTTAAATGGGAACGGGGGTCAAATGGCACATCGTTTTAAAGGGCATTTAATTCTCTTTTCAGTGGTATCCTACTTTGTCCAGAGGTTTCCGTGCTTTTTGTCCAGAGGTTTCCGAATAATCGCGTTCCAAAGTTGCAGAAACAATTAAACATGCCTGCATTGAAATTTTGGTTTTCAGGCTAGTGTTTACACAAACATTATTGCAATGGGTCTCCTTGTAGTACAAATGATTAGAAGAATAGGTGGTAACATGGACGTAGCCATTACATTTTTCTAGGGGGGGTCGAAATACTAATAAACAGAAAACATCATAACCATTAACCTTCCTCTTCTCAAATTATTTAATATTTTTCTCACAACCTCATATTTTTCGAGAAGGACATTGTTGTGAGGAGGGCTTGTGTTTTTGGAAATGCTTGAATTGGTCCTTTATTTATTGAAGGAATCTTGACAGGTGATCTGCATCTTAATATGTTTCAAGAGACTATTGATCCTTGTATCACCCAAGAGCTAGAAACTCAAATTGATGCAGAGGGTAATCCAGTTTTACAGGAGGATTTGTTAACATTCCTGTGCTCCACTTCATTTTCTTCCGATCCGACAGTGGTTAAACGAGAGATTTCCGGGTACATGGATTGGCCGAAGTGGACCAATTTAATGGCTTCCAAGATCACCGGATTTAACACCCTTAGACTTCTTTCTTTGTGGACATCTTAAATCCAATGTTTATAAAACACCACCTACTGATATTGATGATCTTAAAAGGCGAATTACAGCAGAATGCGGGTCATTTCCCGGTTAAGTTTACCGAAATGTTAGGGGGGAGTTTAAAAACAGACTCTATTATTGTTTACAGGAAAATGGACAACATTTTGAACAACTTATAGTTGTGGAGCGTAAGTGGTGCAACCTAATATTCTAATTATTTGTACTACAAGGAGATCCATTGCAATCATTTTTTTGTAAACACACACTAGCCTGAAAACTAAAATCTCAATGTAGACATATTTAATTATTGTTTCTGCAACTTTGAAACACGATTATTCGGAAAAAAGCAACAAAGTAGGATACCACTAAAAAGAGAATTAAACGCCCTTTAAAATGATGTGCCATTTGACCCCCGTTCCCATTTAAGAATGTAAGGGTGACATCTACCCTTCCTAGGGGGTTGGAAGAAAAAGGCTAAAAAGACAATGGTTCGTACACGTAAAACGCATGGAAGAAAACACGCCACCACTAATAGCTCTTGAAGGGAAGCCCATGGGTAACAGACAGCCGGAAAGACCTCCAAAAAGATGGAAAGACAGTTGACAGTGCATCTCCCAAGAACTCCTACAGAGGCAACCTTAAAACTAACAGATCGACTATATCCCAAATAAGTAGGAGAAGAAAACGAATCCTTTACAGCTTGTAAAAAAATAATCCATTATACCACTAAACTATTTTCTTTAATATACAATTCATATTTCCAGATTATTTTTGGCAAGAGTAAAATCAATATGACATTAAAAACTATTTTTATAAAATTATAATTTAAAAAATAGGTATATTATTTTAAAATAATTATTTTTAGCCACAATAATTTCAATTTGACATTTAAAATTTACGTTGAAGGTGGCATGTTTACTATTCCATTCAAGCATAGATTATTTTTTTAATTAATTTAGTTTTTTTCTCTTTTATAACTCCAAAAGGAATTCGTAGAAGCTATTAAAAATAAACAATTTGGTTCATTTTAAGTAGTTCTAAACACTTTCAAATACATTTTTCTGTAAAAATAACATGGGAATAACTTATTCATCGTTTTTAAAATTTACATGGGATTTCCTATCTTCAGGTCAGCGATTCAACAGACTGTATATTTCTATGGGGTTGGTTTAAGGAGTTTACAATAGGGGTAATAAAAAATGTGTTTAGAAATCCTTCTTGGCCGTTCACATTATTTTCGTTTTTAACTTATTTTAATACCATTTTTCTCTTTGTTTTTTGCTTCTCACGATAGATGGGATAAAAAATACCTCCTGAAACGTTAAGAATTTTTTTGTAGGTTAAGCAAATTTGTTTACAAGCAAAATCCCACTGACAAGCTGGTTTCCGTTTGAATTCTACGCAATGGTGTTCATTAATACATACTTTTTATTTTTTAGATTTCTTAGAATCTTCCAAAGAATTTTTCAAGATAATTTATTTTTGTAAAATGTATTAATACCTAGTATAACTTTAACTAAAAAACAAAGCTACATAAAATATGAACAAACTTACCATCACTCTCCAAGGTATCGCTGATTTCTTTCCATAATGCACTTAAAACAGTTTTATTTTTGTGATCTCTATGTCTAGGATTCCATATTGTAGGATTCTTATAAACTGCTGATATTATCTGTTCGTTAAAAGACATAATTGTTGGTTATTTCGAAAAAAGTGCAAATGCTGTTCGTGCAGAAGCAGCGAAAGACTCTACACGCTACACTGTCATAACCAAACTGCGGCAAACGCTTTTCTTCGGGCCTCGTGTTGTTTTGTTTCGAGCCGCAAGAGACGCCATAAACGCTAAAACACTCTCTACGCGCACGAGTCGACCCAGCACGGCGCCGCTAGCTGGTGAGTTGCGACTAGGGATGTTCCGATACTCTAAAAGTATCGATATTGATCGTGAGCAAAAATATCGATACTTTTCGATACAGGATATTAAACTTGAAATTAAGTACAAATTGAACTTGTATTTTTTAACGATATGGCTGTTACCCTAATTACCTTTAATTTTTATTATTAAATAACAACTTCATATTAAATAAACAACTAAAAATATACCGGGTGCGTCTCAAAAGTGGCTCACCCCTATAACTTTTTTATTTTTTCAGCTAAAAAAACGGGATTTGGTATGTTAGTACATGACGTAAATTAGGATTGATTGACGTATTCATCAATTGTTTTTGATCACTTCCTGTTTCACCGGAAATGACTACAACTTTTGATTTTTAAATGGCACCCTCGGTATTTTTTTCTTTATTCGATAGAAAATAACATTCTGAATGGAATGACATACCATACGTCAATTTTTGACATTTTTGCTTAAAACAAAATTGTATTTTAAATTTCAATCTAGAGTGCCATGGCTATGTTAAAAACACTAATCTTTAATCAAGGAGCCTTGGAAAAATAGATTTGATCGTCTAATGTTTTTAGTGTCTTGTCCTGGGGAGTTAGAAAATGTCCAAGTCGTATTTTTAATTATATCTCAATTTTTTCAAATGGAACGAGGGTGGCTCATTAGCATATTTGGAAAAAGCATTTTTTTACGAATAATTTGATACCACACACTTGGTATTTCGAGTCAAATTTTCGTTACGAACTGTAAATTATAATTTCAAATAAACCAAATGTCAAAAGTTGACATATCATATGTCATTCTGTTCAGAGTGATAATTTCTATCGAATGAAGTAAAAAAATACCGAGGGTGCAATTTAAAAACCAAAAGTTGTAGTCATTTCCGGTGAAACAGGAAGTGATGGAAAACAATTTAATACGTCAATCAATCCTAATTTGTCATATACTAACATACCAAATCTCGTTCTTTTGTCTGAAAAAATAAGAAAGTTATAGGGGTGAGCCATTTTTGAGACGCACCCGGTATTTCAATTAAGCAAAGAACAAAAAGTATTCTCCACGAATGTATAGTTGTATTCATTTAAAACTTCCCAATATGGCGGACTTCAGTATGGGAGGCTTAAAAAACGAAAATCTCTAGACTGGAATCGACTGCAGTTCAAATCGTTCAAATTGATAATCTGTGGTAAATCCAATTGAACTCTGACACTTGGCTGACATTGACGTTTACGGTTCCTTTTTCTAAATATTTTCATTATTTTTTGAGTTTTTATTCACAAATTCTACTTTCTACTTGACCTTGTTCTTTTATTTAACCTGGAGCCTGCAGTACTAATTATATAATAACTGTAGGTATAATAGGTATAGTTATAAATAATCTTTTCACCGATCAAGAACTGAGGAATAGGCTGGAAGATATTCAAAATGTGTAAAACGCTTAAAAATGTATTAGAAAACATTGACTCGTCCACAAATTCGTGAAAATAAATTAGTCCAGATGTTTGTAAAAAGGTCTCTAATTATTTTGAGAAGTTTCCTCGTATCAGTAATTTTCAGGTTTGTAATATGTATATGATAATAAATAGATTAAAACTTATATTTCAGGAAACAGCGCGGGCATTACAGATTGTTGTGAATCAGTTTTAAAATATAAAGAAGGTTTAAAACAGGTTTAAAAGTTGAGTTAGTAGAGAAGACCTAAATAAGGTAATGTTGGTAATGGGGGACCAAAGATCAAATAACACTTGAAATATTAATTGTAAGTAGTTTTTATGAATCTGTTTGATATCTATTGCATTGTTTTTATATTTCTTGAAATATATATTTTTTTACTTTACAAGATACACAAAGAATAATAAAAAATACAGTTACTCACTAAAACCACTTAAGGTTTGTAATAGATGTAGTTAAAATATCAAACACCAAGCCAAACCAAAAATTATGTTTTATTTTACTGGTATTCCTCACATTTGAACGGAAAGTCATTTCATAAATAAGCAGAAGGACATTGTATAGTACACTCTATATTAATAATTAATATATAAAAATTCTTTTTTTTATCCTATACTTGTTAGTTGACGCATCACTTACTAGGTATAAAATTTAGTACTGATTCCAAACCTATAGTTGTGGTTGTGACATATTCTGATGTGTTTCTGGCATTTAAAATAAGTTAATATTTAAACAAACATTTATGGCTTTTCTGACAGAAGTGTGAACACAAATTTAATAAAGGTATAATGTGGATAATGTTCTGATTATTAAAGTTTGCATGGATGTTTTTGTATGTTTTTATTTTTAATAAAGTATATTTAATGAGTTTTTGAGTATTTCTTTTTCCCTCAGAGGATTGTGTTCTAATCTTTATATATAAATTTTCATAAATTATATTTACAAAATTTATTACCTTATAACTTTTTGATAAAGACTTTGTAGTTGATACAGTTTAACAGTATATATTATTATTATTATAAAAAAAAACTATTTAAATAAGACGTTTGAAAATATGTAGCTGTTTTTGCACACATTAATTCAATTTGTGATTAACAGTACTGAAATAAAAACAAATTAAGAGAAATGGGGTGATCTATCAACTATAACATGAAACGCATCATCCTATTTCCAAGTCTTCTATTAATTTCACTTATTAAACAAATATAATTATTCAATAATCTTGATAATTCTAGGAACTCACAGATATCGTCAAAACATGAAAACAAAAATTCACTTCCTATAGTTCTTACGTCCCTTTAACTGAAATATAAGTAACAGGGGAGTTAATATTCTCACTGAGAAAGTTTATAAAATACTTTTAAGTAAAATCTCCTCGGATCTGCGGTAAAATACCTTTATTCTTATTAAATAATTTCAATAATCTATATTTTTATTTATGACAACCACCTAATAACCTAACTTTAACGTCAACTTGACAATCCTGAAAAATGTTATTGTTAACCAAAGAGTAAATCAATTTCTGAATTCGCTAACGCCAACTTATTTTTCATTAAAAAAAAATTACCAATTTTCGTAACTAGGTCGGCCATATTGAGGAACTTTTAAAAAAATTGTACTATACCTAAACAAAAAACCAAATATACAGGGTGTCCCAAAAATAAGTGCAAATATTTTAACTGGCAGTATAGTTCAACCCCCTAAACACGCCTATGAGTTTTTTTTTCGCAAAAAAAAATTGAAAATTCCAAATTTTTTGGAATTTTTTTTAGTTTTTAGTTAAAAAACATAATTTCTTGATAATATGGCAACATAGGTATTAGATTAAATTTACAAGAAAGAAAATCCAGAAAAGATCCAGTGGTTCTCAAAATTTTAGCAAAAAATCGTCTAAATTTGTTGAACTGAGGAACAATAACCTATTTTACCTTTTGCCATCTAATCTATTGCGAGGTTTTGTAAGAATTCTTGGAAAAGATTCGCTCCGAAGAAACCGAATGTCCAACTATACTTAATCTGCTCCATAATGCCACTTTCTTGAATTCTGGAGAGCATCCATAATTACTCCAAAATAGAAATCGGAGTTAATATTTACTGTTATGGACTGTTCAAATACATTTTTAATTCAAGGTACATGTCTCCTATGGACGATTGAAATACATTTTCAAAGGGGTACTGCCGATATGTTTGAAGAGAAAGATATTCAATCAATGCGTATTACCTGTTCTAACGTATGGTGCGGAGACGCCAACATTAACCAAGAAAACTGTAAGCAAAATCAGAATAACGCAAAGAGCAATGGAAATATCAATGTTGGGGCTATCTCTGAGAGACAAAGTATCGAATATCGAAGTACGGGGGGGGGGAGACCGAACAAAAGTCATGGATGTCATAGAAAAAATAACTACTTTGAAATTGAATTGGGCAGGGCACATTGCAAGGCTAAACGATGACCCATGGACGAAGAAAATGATAGAAAGGAGACCACGACACGATGCATTCAGGGGCAAAGGCCGTCCTCCAACCAGATGGCATGACGACTTCAGGCACTGGACCAAACGCCACAGTAACTGGATGCAAATTGCTCAAGATAGGGAGTTATGGAAGCAAACGAGGGAGGCCTACGTCCAGCAGTGGACTTTAGTGGCTGGTTGATGATGATGATGATGATGATGATGACATGTCTCCTTTCATGAGTTTCATGACTCTTTTAATTTTTTCATGAGTATTTATATATTTTATTGGTGTTTTTATGTTGCCTTTCTGACTTTATAGATTTACTTATGGACTCCACAAGATGGAGTGACCTCCCCTCTACTGTGGAGCTTGGTAATGGATGAACTACTGGAAGAATTAACTCTAGCGGGAATACACTGCATAGGGTACGCATATGACATAGTCATCATTGCACGGGGGAAACATGAAGGCACCCTGTGTGATATTATCCAAAGAGGACTCCGCATCGCTGAGAGATGGTGCAGGACTGTCGGGCTGAGTATTAACTCAGATAAAACCGCAGTAGTGCCATTCACCAGAAAGCGAAGTTTGAAAAACTTGAAAAGAATCCATCTAGATGGAAAGGAAATACTGCCATCACAGGAAGTGAAATATCTGGGAATAACCCTGGATAGTAAACTTCTCTGGAACAGGCATATTAAGAACATTACCAGCAAAGCCACAAAGGCTCTCATGATATGCAGAAGACTGGCGGGAAATAGGTGGGGCTGCGCCCCTAACATTTTGCGCTGGATGTATACCATGATAGTAAGACCCATGATTACTTATGGAGCAGTTGCTTGGTATACAAAACTAGAGCAACGTACAGCAAGGCAAACCCTGTGCAAAGTACAGAGACTGGCATGTATCTGCATCACAGGTGCCATGAGAACATGTCCAACAGCAGCAATGGAGGTCATTCTAGACCTAACACCACTGCATATTGTCGTCGGTAGTT